TGAGGGCCCTTTTGCATTTCACATGCCCTCACTTTGTTTTGGGGTCCGCTTCCACCTGTGGACCCGTCCAACGCCCCCCACTTCTTTTTGGGGTCCACTTCCACCCGAGGACCGATCCTTCCTTTTTCCAAAAGTTTCGGTTCTACCAGAGCTAGCTGTAGGTAGTCCTCGATTTTGACAAGGACTGGTTCCCCAAATTTTTTTGCCCCCAAAGAACCCTTTTTGCGTGCTGGTTGCCCGTCGCCAAAAATGTGACACTTTGACACAGACGTCGAACCCTAGTAAACCGCAGCCTTTGGTCTGTGAATATTTGCCCTCATGACGTGCCCTCGACCCTTTGCCCTTATTGTCTACCGCATGGACGCGGGGAATGCAGCCCTAAGGTAGCCAAATCAATGAGACTAAGAGCTCGCACAAGAGAGAGAGAGAGAGAGAGAGAGAGAGAGAGAGAGAGAGAGAGAGAGAGAGAGAGAGAATCACAAAACTAAAATATGGATCAAATTGCGACCGCGATCTATTTCGTAGTTGGAATGATTTTTTTAAATTTATTTAGCGTTTTTCCTGGAAAGATCACAACAAAATGTACGAGTACTCCAATTTTCAGGTTTTCGCACACATTTTTCTGAAAGTGAAAACTCACCAAATTGCGAATACTTTTTAAGTTGGCCCACACATAGCTGAGTGGCAAAAATGGAAAATGTGCCGAATTGGCACGACGATTATTTATCGGTCTAAATGTTTTTTTTTTTAATGTTTTAATATTTTTCCTTGAAAGAGCACGACCTCATCTATGGATTCTCAAAATTTTAGATTTTTCTGCGGGTTCCTCCGAGCAAAGAAAATCACCAAAGGTGGCTTTTGCAAAACTCCTGTTTCGTTGTGCGTGATCTCCCTGTTTTGAGAAGTCGGTCCTCAACGCCTGGGCCTGAGGGCCCTTTTGCAGTTCACACGATCTCACTGTGTTCGCAGCCCGTCAGGGTTGCGTTTTCCCCCCCGGAGACATTTTTCGTCGTCGTTCATTATACCGGTCGTTCATTTGGGCCCACTGGTCGTTCAAAGGCTGGTAAAATGAACGGCACTGGCATTTGGGGGGGGGTGGCAGTTCAAGCAAATCCAGGACCGGTAGCTGTCCGTGGCGTTTTCCTAGGAACCCCGCAGTCCAAAAAAAATTGAAACGGTGTGCGGGCCGCAGGGCCTTGAAATTCGAATCTGAAACGGTGGGCCCAGGCATGAAACGGCGTGCGGGCCGCAGGGCCTTGAAATTCGAATCTGAAACGGTGTGGACCCCGATTATTTGCGTGCCATCTGGATTTGTTCCGCGCCATCTCTCTCTCTCTCTCTCTCTCTCTCTCTCTCTCTCTCTCTCTCTCTCTCATCAATCAAGCATATTCGCAGCCCTTAGGCTGCGATATAGTGGGCTTCCGTGTCTGTGTCAAGGTGTCACATTTTTGGCGGCGGGCGACCAGGACGCAAAGTGGGTTCTTGGGGGGCAAAAAATTTTGGGGGACCGGTCCTTGGCAAATCTGCGGACTACCTACAACTAGCTCTGCTAGATCCGGGACTTTTGGAAAAATGAAGGACCGGTCCTCGGGTGGAAGTGGACCCCAAAAAGAAGTGGGGGGCGTGGACCGGACCCCGGGTAGAAGCGGACCCCAAAAAGAAGTGAGGGCATGTGAACTGCAAAAGGGCCCTCAGGCCCAGGCATTGAGCCCCCTCTTCTCAAAACAGGGAGGTCAGGCACAACGAAATAGGCGTTTTGCAAGAGGCAACTTCGGCGATTTTCTGTGCTTGAACAAACATGCACAAAAATCTGAAATTTTGAGAATCCATAGATGAGGTCGTGTTCTTTCCATAAATAATAATAGAACATTTTAAAAAATCATTTACACTGCGAAATAATCGTCGCACCGATTCGGCACATTTTCCATTTTTGCCACTCAGCCATGCCTGGGCCAATAAATTAAAAAAAATCATTCCAATTGCAAAATAGATCGCGGCCGGAAATTGACCCATATTTAATTTTGCCATTCTCTCTCTCTCTCTCTCGCACGCACGCGCGCGTGCGCGTGCGTATCCCCAAACGGAACAAAACTCTCTCTCTCTCTCTCTCTCTAGAGTAGTCCCCGCCCTCCCCCCTCTCTCTCTCTCTAGAGTAGTCCCCGGCCCCCCCCTCTCTCTCTCTCTGTGGTTGGCCCCCCCCTCTCTCTCTCTCTCTGGTAGCCCCGCCCTCCCTCTCTCTCTATTTCTTTCTCTCTCTCACACTCATAACAATAAATGGAACAAAACTCTCTCTTTCTCTCTTTCTCTCTTTCTCTCTCTCTCTCTCTCTCTCTCTCTTGTGTTAGCTCTTAGTCTCATTGATTTGGCTACCTTAGGGCTGCGTTCCCCTCGCCCATGCGGTAGACAATACAAACTACGGGCTGTGCACCCGTTCCCTCACGGTAAGTCAATTTTGGGTCCGGTTCCACCAGTGGACCCGTCCAACGCCCCCCACTTCTTTTTGGGGTCCACTTCCACCCGAGGACCGGTCCTTCCTTTTTCCAAAAGTCCCGGTTCTACCAGAGCTAGCTGTAGGTAGTCCGCAATTTTGGCAAGGACCGGTTCCCCAAATTCTTTTGTCCCCTAAGAACCCACTTTGCGTCCTGGTCGCCCGCCGCCAAAAATGCGACACCTTGACAGGCTGCGAATTTCTTGCAGGCTGCACCATCTCGCCTTCCCCTTGCTCCCGACTGGCTGCGCTCCCGCGTCGGCACACAGTCAAAGAAAAGTGGAAAAACGAGGGACCTCACAGGACGGTGATGGCTCAAGGCCGTCGCCATTTATCTTTTTTTGCCCTGTTGACGTGGCCTGAAGAGGACGAGGAGCCTCCCGTACGATAGGTAGGCGATCTAATGGTAAGCGCTCGTGTTCGTGGGACCAGGCGAAAACGGATCCTGGCGGGACTTTCCCCGTGCTGCAGTCCCCGATGGGCGGGTTATACGTGACCTGAAGAGCATTTGCGGCCGGCTGTAAGATTCTCTCGATCGTGCGGTGGAGTGCTGATGTTGTTCAGGTTACGTAGAGTCCGTAGTCCTTGCTCGACTTCCATCCGGGACCCGCAGATTCCTCCCGCCCGCGGCTGCGTCGTGCGGAAGAGTCGGAGGAGGTGGAGACGTCTTTGGGTTGACGAGGCGGGTTTGTCTGACCGTGCCACCACCGAAATCCACGCGTGGAATGCGCGGGAAGAGGGTACTGTGATGATTGATTATGCACTGAGTCGCGATTTGTTGGTAGTGATACATGGCGCTTTCGGTAGTAGACGTATAATCGGAGGACAGAGTGGCCCGCCAGATGCTGATGACGCTGATGACGTGTCTGGCAGTCGAGTTGGGAAAGGAACACATTAGTGAAGAGGCGGCGAGCGAGAGGATCGAGAGGTGGGTAGCAGCAGTGGGGATGCATGGACAGGGTCAAGTTGTTGAGGGAGCGCCGGGGATACAAGGAGGGAAGGGAAGCTAATACACTAGTGGAGAGGAAGGGAGGTTGTCGAAGCGGGTTGAAGGAGGAAGTTGGACAGAGAGAGCGTGTTTTTGTGTGCGGCCACACGTAAGAAAGAAAAAGAGGGCTGAAGAGCAGGGTATTTGTTTGTGTGCGAAAGAGGGAGTTGGGGAAGGAACGACGAGAGAAAAGGGGGTGTGAGGAGGCGGAGAGGAGAGGCGTGTGAGAATGCGTGCGAGC